GACCCCTCCCAAGCCAACCCCCTTCCCCGCAGGGCAGACTCTTTCGTTTTCTAAGGTAAGATATATATTTTTTTCATCCCATGGATCCTTAAACAATTCTTTTATTTTCATTTCACAGAAAGTTTTCTACCTTGTTTTGCTTTTTTTGTTTGTTTTAATACACCTCTCTCTCCCCTTTTTTTTTGCTGCCAGGAAAACCACGTATTTTCCCCCCCTACGGTTTCATGTTTTTCTTGTTTTCTTAAAAAAAAAAAAACATTTCATCACAGGTTTCCTTTTTGCATGTTTTTTTGTTTGTTTCTGCCACCTCCTCCTCCTCCTCCTTTTTTTTTTTAAAAGCAAGTCCATCTGGAAAGCAGCGCCCCTCCCCCCCGCGATGCTGTAGGTCGGTCAGTGGCAGGCCGTCAGTAAGTCCCAGACAAGTTGCACCCCCGGGTTTGCCTTTTTTTTTCCCCCGCGCCTCTCTCTTTCTCTCTTTCACTCACAAGCAGGAACTTCACCGACTCATTCTTGCAGTGAAGCGTCTCTTCCAGATCGGTGGGACACACCAGAGCGAGTCAGACCCCCGCGGCCGCGATGAAGTTTGCTGGTTGTGGGACACCCTTCTTGGTTGTTTTATTTCCTTTTCTGAAAATAAGACATTCCTGGAAAAGAGGGCAGAGAGGCACTGTGACGGCGGCCCGCTCCAGAAGCACGAGGACCCTTTGAGGGTCGCCCTTTTAGCCTTCTCAGGCATGGACTCTTTCGTGGTGTGAAGTTGCATGCAAGAAACTTCTCAGAAAAGGGGCCAGGCACTCAGCCACATTACAGGCCATTTCGCAGGTCTGATGGAAACCGTGCCTGCAAGCCAGGCTGCTCTTCCACTTAACAAGGCGGAGAGCACGAGGGCATTAGGCTTGCCTCTGTGGCCCCTTACGATCCGGGGTAAACTTCCTCCCCCCTCCGAAACAAGGAAGAGTCGGCAAAGTCATCAACGCCATTTTGACCTCAATGACTGATTTCTGAAACACGCACATGCATGCAACCCATGACTTTAGGGCAGAGTTTCGGAGCTGGTGGCCCTCCGGAAGTCGTTAGATTACAAATCCCATCCTTCAACTTCATATCGCAGCCCAGAGCGGATGGTACGTTGCAGCCGAGGCACATCTGGAGGGCCACACCCTCAACCCCCCCCCCCTTGCCAGGCTTTCAGGAAATATTCAAGCTTGGTTTGCTCTCGGGAGGTGCTTGGCTTGCAAGGGCTGGACAAGGGCTTCCTTTTTTTCTCAGTCAAGTGCAGGAAGCAGCCCCTCCCGGGGCCTCTCGAGGCCGGACGTGCAGCCTCGGGCCAGCAGAAAGGGAAGCCCCGAAAGAACCAAAAGCCCGCTCACAGAGGATGGGAAGGAAGGGCGGGGGGAGGACAAAAGGAAGTGGAGCCCATTTTTCAGGTGGTGAGGTCCAAGAGTAGTTTCCTGGGTCCAAGTGAGCTTTAGAGGATGATAGAATAATCATCTTAAAATTACAGAGCCAGAAGGGGGACCCCCATGGACCATCGGGTCCAGCCCCGGTCAAGGATGCAGAAGGTGGGTGGAGGGGATCAAACTCCCAAACTCCGGCTCCGCAGCCAGAGACATCCACCCCCAAGTTCTCCGGCCGTTCTGAGGCAGGTGCTCCACCGATGCCGGTGATTAGTTCAAAACTGGCCTCTTGGAAGCCCAGTGGGGAAGAACGGCTTTCTTTCAAAGCTTAAAATGATAAAATGGCTAAGTATCCCCATCCGCTGCTCTGGGTCAATGAGAAACCAATGAACAGGGTCATCAACACAAACACACACACACACAGAGAGAGAGACCGATTCTCCGAGTGGAGGAAAGGCTGCAGGCCCGGAGGCTTCTGCTCACCTGGGAGATAGGCAGAGCGAAGGAGGCGCCGGCTACCGGAAGAGTCTGGTGAAGTCCCTCAGAGCCCAGCA